AGGTTTGGGAGTTTATGTCTTTCTTTGCGCTGACTGTCACAGCTGGGCTGATTGTCACATTACACCACCTATAGCTGCCAACAAACAAAGACGTACCCAAGAAGACAGGGTGGACAGTGAATTCCATCCTCTCGTTCTCTAACTCCCTCTGCGTGTTCCCACCAGTTCTTCCCTCCCTCAGTGTGCATTGGCCTCCCAGACGTGTGAAGGAGGGGTGCAACTGTCCTCTGTGGGATTAGAGGAGCTCTCCACGAATACTCCTTTCAAATGACTGGGCTGGGAGCAAGGGAGTGGTCCACAGCTCTCTCTCCCAGGGTACTGGTTTGGAGGCTTCTGTGCAATAGGAGGCGCTGGTTGGTGGGTAATTGACCCACTGAGAATTTGCCACCTTTCTGTGTTTCCTAAAATTACCCACTTGGTGTCTGGCCATTCATCTCTTGCACCTGTAAGATTGAGACCTGATGGTTTTAGCAACTGCTGCTGCTTCTCTGTCTCGCGTTCTCTCTTTCAGTTTTTGCAGCATGGGGTGGATGTAGAGCATCTGTCTAAGTTGGCTTGTTTTAACTGATGATCTTAAAATTCTTTACACACAGTAAAGAATTTACACACACTCCATCCTTATAAGGACTCAATGACAGGGTGCCATTACGCAGTTTCAGAGATGTGAAAACTAAATTGGCAGAAGTTATTTAACTTGTCGATAACCATGTAGCTACTCACAACGAAGTCAAGATTTGAAATCAGTTTATCTGACTGAGTATTGCTTCTTACCCCCTGGGTGACCTTCAGGAATATAAATGGTGGCTAAAAGAGCTCGGTGATGCACGGGTTAAGCACTCAGTTTGAACTCACCAGCTGCTCCATGCGAGAAAGACATGCAGAGCGGCTCCTGTCAACAGTCAGCCTTGAGATCTCTTCAGGGCGGTTTTACTCTGTCCTAGTGGGTCCCTGTGAGTCAGGGTCAACTCAAAGGCTCCCCACCGCAACCCCTGGGCATGTGAAATCCCTGGCAAACTGCTCCCAAGGGTCTCAACCATGAAAACCCTGTGGAGTATAGCTGGGCTCTGCACACTTGGGGATGCTCTC